CGCCACCATGCCCAGCTGATTTTTTGTATTTTTAATAGAGACGAGGTTTCACAATGTTGACCAGGATGGTCTCGATCTCTTGACCTCGTGATCCACCCGCCTCGGCCTCCCAAAGTGCTGGGATTACAGGCGTGAGCCACCGCGCCCGGCCTAGAAATGAGATTCTTTCCAGAATGAGTTCAAGAAGCACAGAGTTTCTAAATAAATAGGAAAATTGTAGTGTTCTAAAGAAATGCAGTGCTTAAGTGAGCAGCTATGTGCTTTGGGAAGGTACTTAAAATTTTTTTAATTTTTTGGATACATAGTAGTGGTACATATTTACAGCAGAGGTGTGATATTCTGATACAAGCATGCAATGTGTAAGAATCAAATCAGGGTAAATGGGCTATCACTTCAAACATTTATCATTTTTTATTTTTTTGAGACAGAGTCTTGCTCTGTTGCCCAGGCTGGAGAGCAGTGGTGCAATCTCGGCTCACTGTAACCTCTGCCTCCTGGGTTCAAGTAGTCCTCCTGCTTTTAGTCTCCTGAGTAGCTGGGACTGTTGGTGCACACCACCAAGCCTGGCCAAGTTTTGTATATTTTGTAGAGTCAGGGTCTTGCCATGTTGCCTAGGCTGGTCTTCAACTCCTGAGCTCAAATGACCCACCCACCTCGGCCTCCCAAAGTGCTTGGGATTACCAGTGTGAGCCACCACACCTGGCTCATTTATCATTTCTTTGTGTTAGGAACATTCTAATCCCACTCCTCTATTTTGAAATGTACAATAAATTTTTGTTAACTATAGTTGCTCTATCTACTGTGCCACTGTACACTAGATCTGATTCCTTCTAACTGGATTTTCGTACCCAGGGAAGGTATTTTAATGGTGACAGACACCCATGAGGTATATGTAAGGAAGGGCAAGCACTAAAAGAGTGGAGTGGTAGCGGGGCTGCCCTCGCACCTGGGCTCACTCTGGCTCTCACTTAGGGTAACAGAAATTTCTAACGGGAAAAAGAGAGCTAAGAAAACACACACACACACACACACACACACTCTCTCTCTCTCTCTCTCTCTCTCTCTCTCTCTCTCTGTAAGTGCCTTATCTGTCTGAGAAGTGAGACGGCTCTTGTCTTCTCCAATAAGTCTTCTTACCCAGCTCATGATGACATTACCTGGCTACTAACACTGGCATTGCACCTTACAAGCAGAGTAATGAGTGTTTCTAGGAAGTGCTGCAGCTCTCTTAAGGAAAAGAGTTATATCAATATATAAATAAGTGACATTATTTCAAACACAACTACATGTTTATACAAAGTTGTTTTTATTTCCCACCCGACAACCCAATCATTTGGCATTAAAACTGAAAAACAAGGCAAGAAAACCAAGAATAAAAAGTGAAGAAATTTTTATATTATAATGTAGTCAAGCATTTGTACTGATTATCTAAAAGAAAAAGAGTATTAGGAAATCCAACTTCAACAGAAAAATTCAAAATGCTTCCAAAGAAAATCAGAAAACTGACCTATTTAGCCAGAGACCAGTGGTTCAATGTTTGATTCTGTGGTTTTTAAATTCCAGGTCCTTGTGTCACCCTAATGCCCCACACTCCTAATGAAACCATAAATGCACCAACAATGCCCATCCCTCCTTGACCTGTGCTGGGCACCACAACAAACTAAAAACATTCTTGGTTTTCTTGTTTTAAGGAAATCTTTTTTCTTTTTTTCTTTAATCTTCTTTATAGCACTTCAAATTTAGCATATGCGCTGCTGAAGTGAGCACATTTTAAGGAGTTTTAAGCTAAAGTTTCTTTTCTCACACACTGTCATATAAAAGGGGCATTTCTGCTTTGTCCCCTCCCTGCCATCATACCAAAAAAATAAATAAGTACATAAATACAAATCCGAAAAGGTTAAATAAGACTGGCTTCTAAAACCCAATAAAGCAAGAGGAGACAGAACTAAGCCTGAAGGGACTGGGAGAAGGTTCTAAAACAGGGAGGGGAAAAAAAATAGAAAAAGAAAAAACCAGCTTTCCAAAAACACTGAAACCCATGGTATGTGACAACTTTCTAAACTGCATGGACTTTGGTAGGAGTGTCACGTTTTCCAAAGCTGACTTCTGGAAATCTTAACTTGGACTCAGAAAAATTCTAGCAAAGTGAGCCAACAGCCAGGAAGAGGTGATTTTGCAAGAGAAAGGGGGTAATTCCATTTATAAACATATATAAATAGAAATAAAGGCCACACACCTGGGAGAAAAGCTCACTAAAAACTCCCACCCCAAACTGAACTTTCCTAGCTGCTAGATTTTTTCCATGTGTTAAAAAAGGAAAACTTATTGAAGATCAGGCACAGAGAGCAAAAGAGCATGTGCATATTTGGGGGAGGAAGAAATCAACAAGGTAAAAAGCTACTGAGAGAAAAAGCTTCATCTGCACTCTTTCAAGAGGTCAAGGGAAGCCATTTTCAAATCCAACTCAAGTCACAGGCGTCATAAATTCAATCCCCCCAAAAATGTAGGCAGCAAGGGCCTACCTATGCCACAGACTGATTTTACTCTGCGCCTTGCACACCTGCCAGCAATAGCAGTACCTACTTGAGAACTTTGCTTCACAGACCTTCCACTGCCTTTCCCAGTTGCCTGAGTAACTCTCTTTAGGAAACTTGTGATGACTTCATTCATTATCATCTCTGGCTCCAGAAATGGGAACCACTTCGTCAGCACAGCTTAGAAGTATAATGGCCGTTTCTGCAGTTTTCTACAGCTCACGTTGGCTTTGGAGGCTCTTAATGGTCCCCCAGAGTCACCCACTCTACTGCAGAGCGGCAGTACTACATAACTTGCTCTACACAGGCAACAAGGCCATTTTCAGCTGTTACTTAGAAACTTGCTTCTTGGTGATACTACGTTTAAAAGACAAAAAAGATACCTTATATTACAGGGTTGGAGAAAGGGAAAATGATAACACGAAAGCCCACTTCAGTCTCTTTGATTCTGCAAGAGTCATAGCTGAGTTCAGAGGCTGCCTTTCTCCTCCCCAGCCCATCTCCAGGCTGTGCAGTCACAGGAAGAACAGGTTCTCGCACAGCTGGATGGCTGGTTCATGATGCAAGATCTGTCCAGACAGGAAAGCTAGCTTGTGGGCATACTTGCAAGGAGCTGGAACTCTGATGGTGCCAGGCCAATTCCAGTACATGTGGCACAGTTTGAAAGTCAGCCTGTAGGCCAGGAAGAAAATAGAAAGCTCAACATCCTCCACCTTCAATTTGGGGCATGATCGTTTACTCACAGGGACAGGACAGAGAGCACACTTTTCTGAAAACTGGGGAACAGAAGAATACAAGATGCATCTTTTTAGAATCATTATTATTTTGAGACAGAGCCTTGCTCTGTGTGCAGGCTGGAATGCAGTGGCACAATCTTGGCTCACTGCAACCTCTGCCTGCCGGGTTCAAGTGATTCTCCCACCTCAGTCACCTGAGTAGCTGGAATTACAGGCATGCACCACCATGCCCAGCTAATTTTTGTATTTTTAGTAGAGACAGAGTTTCGCCATGTTGGCCAGGCTGGTTTCGAACTCCTGACCTCAAGTGAGCGGCCTGCCTTGGTCTCCCAAAGTGCTGGGATTACAGGCGTGAGCCACTGCACCTGGCCTCTTGTTTTTATATCAAAACAAGGAAGATAACACAAAAAGAAAATATTTCTTGTTTACAAGAAAAGGCTTCAGAAAGATAAGTACCGTAGTGGAATATTTACATAATCTGAACTCAATGGCATTGTGTATCAAGTCTGGTTGTAGGTCATAATCACCTGGAACAAATTTTAAAAATACAGATGCCTCAGAGAATTTGGGGGGAAGCCTGGTATCAATATTTTTTAAAGCTCTTTAAGTAAAGGTAATTTTAATATAAAACCAAGATTTCCAATCTCTCCTCAAAAAGACACCATTATTGTCAAAGATATGAAGAAATTCAAGGGGTAAATATAACTTGGGGTGAACAGTGAACCCATCTTAGCTAGCAGGCCAGAACTATTTAAGAAAGAGAAAGAGTAAGTTACTGATAGGCCCACCTCTGCATATGATCAGGGCTCAGGTTTGCGGTGTTCAGAACACAGACATAATGTGTAGGAATGCCACAGCCCTGCCGTACGTGATGGGCAAGAAGGTAGAAATCCACCCTAGGAAGGAAAATCACACGTTAGTCATATGGTTGGATTCAGCCAGACAGAGCTGGCAAAGATCCTGGAGATAATTCTAGCTCCTTCAACTAAGGCTCAGAGAGGTAAAATGACTGGATCAAGGACACAGAGGCCAGACCAGGATTAGAACCCAGGTTTCCTGACTCAAGAGGCTACTGAAGGATGGTGGGAGCAGGGTGGATGCAGTGACTCACACCTGTAATCCCAGCACTTTGGAAGGCTGAGGCAGGCGGATTGCTTGAGCCCAGGAGTTCAAGACCAGTCTGGGCAACATGGCAAGACCCTGTCTCTACAAAAAATACAAAAATCAGATGGGCATGGTGGCATATGCCTATTGTCCCAGCTACTCAGGAGGCTGAGGTGAGAGGATCACCCGGGCCCAAGGAAGCTGAGGCTGCAGTGAGCTGAGATCACATCACTACACTCCAGCCTGGACAACATAGTGAGATCCTGCCTAAAAAAAAGGAATGGTAGTAGAAACTCCCTTATCTACCTGTAGAAGTTAAGCAAACACTGTCTTAGCAAAACAATGTATTTACAGCTTTATGCTTAAGAGGTAAAAGCTTTCTTGTTTTAAAATCTTTTTTTGCCGGGCGCGGTGGCTCAAGCCTGTAATCCCAGCACTTTGGGAGGCCAAGGCGGGTGGATCACGAGGTCAAGAGATCGAGACCATCCTGGTCAACATGGTGAAACCCCGTCTCTACTAAAAATACAAAAAATTAGCTGGGCATGGTGGTGCGTGCCTGTAATCCCAGCTACTCAGGAGGCTGAGGCAGGAGAATTGCCTGAAGCCAGGAGGCGGAGGTTGCGGTGAGCCGAGATCGCGCCATTGCACTCCAGCCTGGGTAACAAGAGCGAAACTCTGTCTCAAAAAAATAAATAAATAAATAAATAAAAATAAAATCTTTTTTTGTTTTGTTTTGAAGCAGTCTCTCTCTGTCAGGCAGACTGGATTACAGTGGCCTGATCTCAGCTTACTGCAACCTCTGCCTCCTGGGTTCAAGTGATTCTCCTGCCTCAGTCTCCTGAGTAGCTGGGATTACAGGCACATACCATCACATCTGGCTAATTTTTGTATTTTCAGTAGACAAGTTTTTGCCATGTTCGGCTGGTCTTGAACTCCTGACCTCAGGTGATCCACCTGCCTCAGCCTCCCAAAGTGTTGGGATTTACAGGTGTGAGCCACCATGCCCAGCCCTTAATGCTTCATTCTTTTAACTATAGCATCTCTGAGATTCTAGTCCACACCTCTCCAGGAAACCTCCCCATTCCAATACCCAGGAAAGTGCTAATATCTCCAACTGATTCTTCCTCCAATACTATATATTTTGCCCACTCACCACTCACAGCTTGTTATTGTATGATCGACCACAGTTCCAGGGGTGGGAGTCACAAAGTGCTGAGGAGTAGCCAGATACAGATTAGTACTGATTTTCTTCTGCACTACAAACACCACCATCTTGGGCTGATAATTCTCAAAAGCTTCAAAACACTTCTGTAGTTGAGGAATCTCATAGTTGGCAACTGTCTTCAGCTGGCCATCAGACACTCCATCACGGTACACCACAATCTTCTCTGGTAGGCAGTGGTTCACCTGAAATGACAGCCAGAATGTGGTGACTCACAGGGCCCTCAGGCTAAGGACCACAGTCAGTGAGAGGCTCACCCACATTGTGCAACCTGAGATCATGGCAGATCCTTTTGCAGTCAGTCCCAAAGCTACTGTGCCTAGAGGGCAGGGGAAAAGCTTCTAATCATTTCTAGTCTTCCTTGGGGTAGTAAAACACGCCTGGTGCAGCAAAGGTGTTATAAAACATGAAAGCAAAACAAGCAAGTTATGAGTCACATTGACACAGCTTATCCACAAACAATGCAAACAAAGTTCAAAGGAATGATGGGAAAATTACAGGCTAAATCAATTTTCCTTCTACTTGGATTTAACATTAATAACTGTCTGGGCAAAGAGCAAGGTAAAGTGTTAGAGAAATTCTAACATATGACCACATATGCCACAGATCCGCCGCCATCAGATTTTTACCTACTGGCAACATCCCAAGTTGCTGACAAGTGAAAGGACCCTTTACTAAATATTATCCTGCAAGCTGGTATGGTGTGAAACATTTTTACTGTAACTAAGTAATTAGCAAACAGCTATGTGAATGTCTATGGGTCCAAATTAAATTAAATGCTTGCTCGAATCAATTTGAAGGATAATTTTTTCCCCATTTAGGGAATATAAATGGAGAAAAAATTTATATTTTTTCCAGGGCCAGGTGCGGTGGCTCATGCCTGCAATCCCAGCACTTTGGGAGGCCGAGGTAAGTGGATCACTGGAGGTTAGGAGATCGAGACCAGCCTGGCAAACATGGCGAAACCCCATCTCTACTAAAAATATAAAAATTAGCTAGGCGTGGTGGGGAGTACCTGTAATCCCAGCTACTCAGGAGGCTGAGGCAGGAGAATCACTTGAACACAAGAGGCGGAGGCTGTAGTGAGCAGAGATTGCTCCACTGCACTCCAGCCTGGGCAACAAGAGCAAAACTCCATCTTGGAAAAAAAAGAAAATTCAAAAGGATAAGTTCAGTTCAATTTAAAACAGAAGTTCCCTTTAAAAGTGCTTAAGTTTGGCCAGGCACAGTAGCTCACGCCTGTAATCCCAGCACTTTGGGAGGCCAAGGCGGGTGGATCACGAGGTCAAGAGATCGAGACC